GTCAGGTTTTACATTGAAATGAAAACTTTATAGTTTCTTAAAAAAAAAGCTATAAAAGTTTAATTTAAGTCATGTTTTAAAATATTTAGATTGCCTAATTACTTTTTTGAACTCATGAAGTTGTGTTTAGTCTTGTAGAAAAGTGCATTGAAGTTTAAATAAAAATGTAGCAATGTGGTGCAATTTTAAGGCATTTTCAGAGTTGGAAATTAGGAAAATTTATGTTTTGAGTTGGCATTATAAAGACATTTCATTGGCTAAAAATATTTCACTTGGATTACTAAAGTTGGAGTTCAAACGAAGTTGCAAAGAAGATATGTAAGCTAGCTAAACAAAAAGAAGGCTTTAGTGGTGCAAGTGTGAACACAAGGGAAGGCCAATGGTTTTTTGCTAACTTGGACTTTTGAAGGCTTCTAATTGGTTTTTTGAAGATGCATTTAGATCCAAGAATCATATTTTCCACATGACTTGAAGAGAGGATCTAAGGAGTTGTACATATTAGTTTTTGAAAGATTGTAAATGAGTTAGAAATATCTTTTCCAAGTGTTAGCTTATGTGGCATTTTAGAATAAGATAATTGGTTAATCATACTTTGGTTATATATAGAGGTCTAGATGGGTGGTAAAGAGAACTACTGCATTTTTTTTTTTCATTTTTTCCTTTATATCCCTTTGTAATTCTCTATAGGCATATCTTTTTTCTTTCATAAAGAAAGTTATTTAGATGAGATTTTCTTTTATTTTCTTGCACATTTTCTTTTCAATTACTTATATTTGCTGCATTGTTTTCAAATTCTTCAATGTTCTAAGCAATTTTACATTTTATCTTACTTTAATTCAATGCAAGTTTCTTTTGCTTTCTTTTACTGCTTATTTCCTATTGTGATGTTCTTATGATTTTTCAAGCATTTCATTATGATTTGTTGCTTAAATTTTTTAAAAATTTTATGCATTTAATTGACTTTCCAATCTATGTATATACAAAATTTTCACTTTAAAATTTATTCTAAATTACTTGTAATAATTTTTGGACGTTCGGTTACTACTGTTAGCCAGAAAAGGAGGTGCAATTGTTATTCGACCTTGATCTAGCTAGCTAGGCAATGGTTTGATCTCTTTTTTCTTTTGTTTACATTCAATTTTTCAGTTTAAGAGTAGATTTATTTTGCTTTTTTTAAATCTCATGCAATTTTCTCATGATTTTTGAATTCGAAGTCTATTTATCTTTATTTTCTCTGTTTTTGAGTTTTTATTTTCATATAGTTCATTAAGCTTGGTTTGGATGTTTTCAAGCTAATTTCTTTCTTTGATCTTACACTTTACTTTATTTCATGTTCTTAACTTATCTTCAGTTCATTTTTTTGCTTGGATCTTGGATTTATTTTTCTTTTTATTGAAATTTCAAATTTTGTTTTGATGCATTTTCGACTCTCGATCTCTAGTTCGGTTTCTTTTATCTTTCATGCTTTAATTTCATTTCCTTATTAGAGATAGGTTATTTTCATGATCATTTACTTGTATTTCATTTTTGCATTTAGATCTTAGGTTAATTTCATACTTGTTCATGTGTTTTAATGTTAGGTTTTCTTGCTATGTTCATTTCAATTACTGCCTATTTCATGCATTCTTTAGTTTAGTTTACTTCCTTTTATGTAATTGTTCATTTGGTTGCTTAATTCTTTGTTTTACTTTACCTTGCTTTCATTTACTTTACTTATGGTTTTATATGCTTTCTTTAGGTTATATTAGCCATAGATCAATCATTTTTAATTCGTTCAAACTAAGTATAGTTGAATGTTGCACTTGGTACTTAAACATATAAGCTACCCATAAATCAATCATCGAGGAAACGTACTCATTCACACACTTTATTATTTGAATTGCCTTTGCACTTGCAGTGTTACCGCAATCACCTATATGCTAAATCTAAATTCAAATTACTTTATTACTATTTATATAAAGTTTCTTATTTAAGTTACCTAACTTTATTTGAATGTAACTCAAGGGTTTTTTATAAAGCTATTTAATAGTTAAGTAATTTATAAAATTAGACTTAGAATATAATTTTTGCAAATCTAAGATGGAGAAACACAAATTGCCATGAAAAAAGAACATATGTTGCCAAAAAGCTTTAATGAGACTTTGTATGCAATTCCTAAGAATTTGATCAATTAATTCCTTTAATGGCTAAAAGGAATTAGCATTAATAAAGTCAATCATCCTAGCAATTGGCATGAGATAAATATATTCTTCAATATATATAATATATGAATGTAATAAATGTTATGCACATTAGATAACAAAGCAGTGAGACCTAATAATGAATTAAACAATATCCCTCATTAAAATATTAAGTCAAATGTTTCGTGTTACAATCTACACCAACTTGCAATGCATTGTCTGTTGTAACCAAATAGACCTCACAGTTTTGTCTCAAAAGGTATCTCACAAGTTGAAAATAATGTGAACACTAATATTCGATAGAATTCTAGTATATAATTGATGTGAGATTCATGACTCTTCTTTGGAACCATAACATCCTCTCCCACTACAACGAAAGTCCATCATTTTCAGTGGCACATCTCTATTACTCCTATGGTTAACTTTGATACCAAATGTCACAGTCTATAGCAACTTGTAAGTTATTGTCTATTTTGACCAATTAGCCATCATAATTTTCTCCCATAAAAAGCATTTCACTGGTTGAAGATGTGTGAATACTTATATCCTAAGTCGAACTCTAGCATAAAATTGATGTAGGAATCATTACTTCTCTCTAAATCCATTACACTTCGTATTATTAAGTTTTCTTCCATAATCATAAAAAGATAACCAGAGTTTTTTTTATTGAAGACTTGTTAAGTCACTCAAGGCCAAATGTTAACACGAATATGTTTGAGTTATGAATGTTGGTCCTATTCAACTAGTGTTGTATAGTTCGGGTGTGTCATACATATGATATATTTAGGCAAAAAGATGTCACCAAACTGATATAAAAGTTGTATAGAGATGCATTTGATAAACTATATTACCAACTTAATTTCTTTTGTAATGGTTTATTGAGTCATTGAGGAACATGGTGGGATGAAAGGGTTTCTAACTCATTAAGAGATTTAAAAGTTAGATTTCTCAAAATAATAAATAAAGTCTATTGTTTTGGTAAAATAATAGAATAATCATTTAAGATTTAAAATTTTGTCTTAATGATTACTATTTGCAATAGTAATTTTGAAATATGTTTTGATTTATATATGATATAAATGATCATGACAAATAACCTATCACTTCATAGCATATTAGGTTCAAACAAACTCACTAAGCCAATTTTCATTGATTGGTTCTACGACATAAAATTGTGCTAATACAAGAAAAGAAAGATTAAGTCCAAAAAGATTCTATCTATAAGACATTTGTTACCAATGCTAATGATGAAGTTAGGGAGGCTTATTTGACTCATATGGATGATCTTACTCAAGTCACTTGCATGATGTAGGCTAGAATGTGTCATAAACTTCATAAACAACATGTACCATGAATGCATAAGATATTATCTTTAACATTGGGGAAATGTTCGACAAGAAGAATCACACTGAGAGGTTCTACATCTTAAAGATATTGTTTTGAACTAAGGTGTCAGAAGGTAGCTCTATAAGGCCTCAAAATGATAAGATATATCACTACACTTGAACAATTGGATTAGAATATAGATAATAAATTAAGCATAGATTCGGTTCTTTTTTTATTACGAAATATATATAAAAATATATATTTTATTATTTATTTAATTTTACACAAAATATATTAATAAAATGAAATTTTTATCTTAATTTAAAAATTTAATATTTTAAACTCAATATGGGATATCAATGTAGCATTCTCTATGAACTTTTTTTTTTTTCATTATTTTTGTTCTTTCCCTTTTACCCCTTTTTCATTTTCTTTATTTTTTTGGTATTTATTATTTTTATTAGATTAATTGTATAAGATTAATTTTAGGTTAAGATAATCACATTTCATTCTCCTTTTTTTATTTTTTTTAATTAAATAAATGTTAAAAACGATGAATAAAGATGAAAAGATAAAAAAGTTTTGACACGTGACAATGTACGAACATTTTTCTAATATATTTATTAAGTTTACGTATAGTCAGAAGTGAGGGACTTCTTTTCAAAAAAAAAAAAAAAAAAAGAACATGTTTCCAATCTCGATTTTGTCCTAATGAACTTAACTTTATTTTTTTCATCTTTGCCCCAGCTTCGAATTTTAATCATCGAGTTTGTGTCTTTCGAAGTGAGAAATTGTGTTTTTTGTCGGTTCAAGTAAAATTAACATCTCTAATGGAGATTGGTCTTAACAGACGGATCCGATTTTTGCTAGAAACAAAATTCACCCATTACCAAGGCAGCAACTCGTTTTTTCTCTTTCTCTGTAAAATCTATTTGTATAATAACGAAAGGTCACCATTGTTTTCCAAAGTTCAGTATCCATTTTAATAAATACTTCTCTATAGATAAGTAAATAAGTTAAATTATTAGTGAGTAATTCGAGTTTAATTAAAAAAAATTCATATCTGATTTATTTATTATTGAGATAATTCAAATTATTTGAATAATAAGTGAAATCAAATTTGAAAATTTTATTTGAAAAGTTAATTGAATTTTTATTTTTAATCTATAAATAAATAATAAAAATATAATATTTATAATTTTATCAAATTTATTCAAAATTATTAAATTGAATTTAAATAATTTAATTAAATTATAAATCAAATTTAAATATAATAAAATAAAATTTGATTAAATTAAAATTAAATTTCGGACCTCCCAAGCTTTTTTGAATTGAGTCAAACTCCAAATAGGACAACTTATTGATTTAATTTGCCTCGATTACCTTCCTGTTATACTATTTTCTTTCTAATTCCAGCCGAGAAAGAAAACTCCAAATGCAAATTGGCAGACATTTGACGAATCATGTCTATGTCATCTCCTGCGACAACCAAGCCGTAGGACAAAAACAAGGATCAATTTTTTATTTTTTTAAGCACTTAATTGGATTGGTCCTTAAATATTTCTATGAACAATATAAAAAGGAAAAACGCCAAACCAACCACTCGTCGTTCTTCTTTCTGTACACTTTCTCAAACTCCAGAGAGAGGCCCCATAAGAATAGGGTTGTTCTTAGTTTTTGAAGTAAAGAGAGAAAATGGCGAATTGGGAATTGAAAAGTTGCTGCAACCATGACCAAGTCACCTTTCTGGTTACATGCGGGGTCTTCACTGTTGTCATTCTTGCTGTAAGTTTTTTTCTTGGTTTTTCTTTTGCTGTAAAGATCATTGCTTATTCTGCTCTACATTTTGTTGTTGAAAAAAACAAAATAAAATATAAAAAGGGTAAATTTAGTAAGAGTTCCATAGTTATGTCTGTTTGAAGGATGAGAGAGCTAGTCAAAAAGAACATTTGTGGTTGACTTTACCATGATTGTTAGTTTTAGTTTGATAGTTTCTTGTTATGGAGAAATGATCGATGGTAATTTGAATTAAATCAAAAGTTAATGAATTGAATTAGATTAAAAGTTTGAATAGTTTCTTTGTTTGCAAATTGGAGGGATTTTCTGGTAGCTTATGAGTTATGATAAATTTTGTAATAATAGTTGAAAATCTGTTCATAAGAATTAAGATTCCGAGTTGAAGTGATATGAATGAATATAACTTTTAGAAGCTAAGAAAAATAAAAAGAAAATGACATAGAAGCTTAAGGATAGAAAGAAAAGAAGAAGAAAAAAGGATGTGTTGGGATGAGATTGTTTTGGTTATGGGTTTGGTGAAGGATATAATTTAGAATGAAAGTGATACGCAAAGGACTTTGTGTTTATATCAAGGTTGCATGAACTGATAGGTCTGTAATTGAACTTGGTCTATTACTTAGAAGGAGTTTTATAGGAGGATCCATTGTAGTTGACTTTCAGTTAAAAGATAAGGAATTCTTATATAAAATGAAGTTCTTTCAACTGTATGTTACTGTTGTATACATAATTGGGCAAATGTAATAGAATTGCCCTGACTAGTAATTTTCCTGGGTTTTGAACTGTTGCCTATGTTTTCTTAAATTTATGATTTGACCTAATTTCCCCTGACTGTTGTAGCTATGGAGGACAGTGCTATTGACACCTTTTAAGCTTATTACAGTATTCTTGCACGAAGCAAGTCATGCAATCGCTTGCAAACTTACCTGTGGTAACGTAAGAAGCTCTTGCCTTTATCACATGTTTCAGTGTGATCATGAACCGTTTGACGATATACTATTTATTCTGCTTTCAACTTATGTATTTTGTGAGATGGACAGATGAAACTAATGATAGCTTTTCTTTAGTTTGATTGATTATGAACTGAATTTTATGGGATCTAATATAACTGGCTCTTCTAATCAAATATCATCCTCTGCTCTGATTTCATTTTTGAAAGTCCCCTCCCCAAACAAAAAGGCGAATAAGGGTGTCTTAAGTTAATAAGCTTCATTAGTTATTAATTTGCAATTGATAATTTCATGTTTAGATTGAATCAAAGATTCTAGCACCTTGGGATGTTTTTATGACTAATAGATTAGGTCTCAAAAAGCAACTTGTATTTATTTGATTATTTTTTGTACTTAATTTCTATATCTTCATAATGCTAGGCAAAATACAATTAATTTGTTCTCAAGCTGAAGCTACAGATCAAGGATGTATTACAACTTTAGCCCCCTTGTTGTGGCATCAGGCAAATAAATAAAAAACACCATCCTGTGCCTGTTTTTGTGAATCAATAATTAAATTGCATATTTTCTCTGTACATCATTTTAAATACCTTATCACTCCATGTGATCATTGCACCATGTTTATACTGTTGTTGCACATATTTTATGGTATTTCACGTTCTTGTCTGTAGCACATGATCTCACTTTTAGAGGTCTGTTTGTTGTGCCACTTAACCATTCTTGCTCGTAGCAAATTAAAATTTTTTCCACCTTCATAAATCAAGTAGACACTGTATTTTTTTACCAGAAAATGACCAAGTGCTTATATAATCTTCAAAAGTTTATTCCAACTGGTGCCTACCAAAATTTCTTTGAGTAGAATTGTAAGTTGTTTTTGTTTTTAAGTTGGCCTATCTTACCAATAACTGATCTTGTTAATGTTTAATCTTTGGGTTATGGTCTGCTTAATTATCTATATTCCTATTTACTTAACATGCAGGTAGTAGGGATCCAGGTTCATGCAGATGAAGGTGGAGTGACACAGACACGAGGTGGTGTATATTGGTTGATCTTGCCTGCTGGATGTAAGTATTTTCTTCTAAGAAAACATGCACAAAATCAATGCAAGACAGTATATAGCAAAGAAATGTTTATTAGGCAATTTGGAAAGATCCACCTAGCCTGCTTAGCATATGATACTGCTTTCCTGCATTTTCTGCTTTCTCCTCCACTTTCTTTTAATGGAAACAAATTTATTATTGGGTTTAATCTGTGTACGGATGCATCAAGACATGCCTAACTCGAGTGCAAGTTTGTGGTGGTTGACTGCCTGTGTTCTGCCATGTTCCTGGTGTCTCACTGAAAGGACAATTCACCACTACTGGAGTGATGGGCTTACAAATTTTCATGCTTTGAAGCTTATGCAGGAACATTAAAGATTCAGATATCTTTTTCGTTTACTTTTTTCCTGTTAAATTAGTTTACCATTCTTTTCAATTTTTATTATATCCTTTTCTAACTATGTGATCTTTTATCTAATGTTAGCTGCTCTAAGTGGCATTTATGATTTTACAATTGCTTTTGCATCCAGATCTTGGCTCATCATTTTGGGGGATGGCTTTAATACTTGCATCCACAAAAATCCTCACTGCAAGAATAGCTGCTGGTTGTTTTCTTCTTGCCCTGGTTGTTGTGCTCTTTTATGCTAAAAATGTAAGATGTCAAGGAGATAATATTTCCTAATAAAAATTGGTATTCATATGTGAATGGTGTTTTCTTTCTTTCCTTTTTTTGGATTTATATTCTTTTAAAGAGAGATTTCAACTTTTAACTTTTGATGTGCATGATTGTTCAAACAGTGGACACTTCGAGGACTTTGCATTGGTGAGTACCTCTGTAATCTTGTGATAACTTTTATTTTGATAACCATAACTGCTATTTCTATAACCATGATTTTAAGTGCTTATAATTTGTATAAATTGGATTCCTCAGGATTTATTATCTTTCTTGCTATAATTTGGCTTTTGCAAGAAAGGACAAAAGTTCGTATTCTCCGCTATGTTATTCTCTTCATTGGTATAGGCTCTATTGTTATATTTTTCCTTTCCTTTTGTGCCGAATAATTTCGTTTTCTCATCTCATCTCCGAAAGAAATGTCGTTTATTTCTAATTTGGAAATTTCAGGTGTCATGAACAGTTTGTTTTCAGTCTATGGTATGTAACAGCAGTTCTGCTTCCTCTTCTTTTATCTTTGTATTGTTCTTTTATTTATTTATATGAATTGGTTGTTATCAGAGTTAAGAATTGAGTATAAAATGACTTGAATATTATTTGCACAGATATCTATGATGATCTAATATCACGAAGAGTCCACTCCAGTGATGCTGAGAAGTTTGCAGAAATTTGTCCTTGCCCCTGCAATGGAGTTGGATGGGGATTTATATGGTGAGACACTGACACTTTAAGCTTTGACAGCATGAACAGTGAAATATGACTAGAGTGCATATGATGTGCAACAGTGGTGTAACGATTTCATGATTATTTGTCCTTCTGATCACATTTTGTTGTGAACACTGCTTGCAGGGGAATGATATCATTCTTATTTCTTGCTGGATCAATGTACCTAGCACTTGTCATCTTATCTTGAGGTACAGCCTGCTTCTGAAAGGAATTATTTTCTTTTTCTAGAACTAAAAATAGAATTGATTTTCAATTGTGTACATTTACTAAGTGCATTTTTGTTTTTCATGAACATATGTAATTGAGTTTCTCTCTTTTTGTTATTTAAAATTTAGTTCCTGATTCTTTCCAAAAAAAAAAAAGGAATTTAGTTCCTGATAACAAACTTAGCCTTTACAATGGTTGAATTCTGTTTGACAAACAAAAGATCACTTCTAGATAAAGTAGGAGACTCGACTGATGAACTGCTCTAACAAAGTAGAATAAATTCAAACACCTGGTAGCAACTGAAATTTTCAACAAATGTCCTATGTACTTTCTAAACTTCTGTTTTTTTGTTTTTTTTTTTTCTGTTTTCAGAACATACCTTAATCTTATTTCAACTTTGGGTTTCATTTACTTAATGCATATGACTCATGGTTAGATGTCAGAGGATATCTTACTTATAGAAGCCTATTTGCAGTCATACTTTGGATTCCATACTTTACTGCTAAATTCTCTTTTAGTGTAGAGTGATGGTCAATTTCCAAATCTTTGCAACCAGAATGAACCCATCCAACATTTTGATCTTTCCTACACCGTAAACTTAGATGGCACTGTCACAATCAAATTTGACCACAAGCAAAAAGAAACCCCTACTCCAGCCTCTGTCATCTCCACACAATTCATGATACAACCATGTTAACTAGAATTGAATGTACCACTTACACACTTCAAGCTTGATGGATTACTTGTATATGCATACAGATCTTCAAAAGGACAATGTTATTGGGACATTAATTGCAGTTGCAAAGGATGCTAGTAGGAAAAATGTAGAAATTTCTTTGATGATGATGATAAAAGAAAACCAAGGCGCAAATCCTCCGAGCAAAGTTGAAAGAAAGATTTGAAAGTGGAGACCTGAAGTAGATTTCCTTGGTTAACCCTAGGGAATGTTTGATTATTATACCATTTATCCCAAACACAAGAAGCCAAACATCTTTAAGCCAAACTGCTCAAACCAAACACTTGAAAAGCCAAAACCACAACCAAAAGGACCCTTACTTTGTTATGCTCTTGGTCTTGCTTACATTGTTAAAGAAGATGCAAAAGATGAAGAAAATGTATCGACAACCTGGGAATATCTCAATGGTAATAGGTTTGCTGATAAAATCTGTAGAGAAAACATTTTCATTAGCAATTTTGAAGAAGGGTTTTTGTCTTTTCTAAAGGGATTTGGGATTTTTGGGATGTATTTGTACTGATCTTTTGTAAATTCCTAGAGAGGAGGAGGTTGTTGGTCAATCTTCAGAATATTATTCTTGACTTCCAAGCAAGAATGATTATTGTAGATCAAGAGCTTAAACAGTTGGTTGAAAGCAACAATGGTTACACCTATGCTTTTGTTGAAAGAGAAAAAGAAATGAAAAGTCTTAAGATTCAACTTGCAAATCTCTAGATACAACTTTGTCAGAAACAATAACAAGAAGCCTCAAATTCAAATATCTTTGCCCCAATTAACACTAGAATGCATGATACTCCTCACCAAGCATACTCCTACCTTCACTTCCAAAAACCATTCTTCACTCCATTCAATTACGAACCAAAACTAAGCACATTGGTATTCACGCCTTCATCCACAACTATAATCTCATAGGGAAGATATCTTTAATTGAATGTTGAGAAAGACTTTCTTGTGCCATTTGTTGGAGCAAGTTGGAAAGATATTTGGTGTGGAAGAAATAATTAGTTGAAATGGAGGTTCAAAATAATCACTGGTTGTGGTTTTAGGAGTGGGTTAGAGGATGTTGCAACTATGATTGTGGTTGTCTTTGGCTTTTGGGTTGTGGAAGTGGTTGTTCTGTTATCCTTTTAGGTTTCTGTTTAATTGGCTATTTTTCTTTGAATCTGTTTATCCATTTTTCAGTAGTGCAAAAGAGAGGTTGTTATGAGGGAGGAGCATAGAATGATTGTTCTGATAGGGGTGTGAAAAATGGTTTTTTTTTTTTAAGGGTATGAGGTTATGGTTGTGGATGGAGGTGTGAATATTGATGTGCTTGGTTTTGGTTGGTATTGGAATGGGGTAAATGGTTTTGGAGGTGAAGGTGGGGTGTTTAGGTCTTTTTTTGAAAGTGGTGATGCTAAAATTCTTTGGGTTGTTTGACAACTTGGGAATATCTCAATGGTAACAGGTTTGTTGATAAAATTTGTAAAGAAAATATTTTCATCAACAATTTTGAAGAAGGTTTTTTTGTCTTTTCCAAAGGGATTTGGGTAGGACAATAGGTTGGCTATGGTTTGGGCTGCACCTGAAAGTCAGACATCCTTTAGCAAAATTGTTCAAACCAAACACCTAAAAAGTCAAAACTTCGACCAAAAGGACCTTTACCCTGTTATGCTGTTGCTCTTGCTTACATTGCTAAAGAAGATGCAGAAAAGGCTAAGCTCTAGAAAAGTTGTAAACAATAAGTCAACAATGTTGTTCCATATGTTTTCAATTAACTACCGAGGAAGAGTTTTTTATGCCATTTGTTGGAGCAGGTTGGGATGCACCATTATACCTGGTTTCATAAATCTTTTTGTCAATTTTGAGTTGATAGTTATATCTTGAGGGGTATTTACCCCATGGAACATCATCTTGGAGTTCTGGCCAAATTTGAGGAGGAATTTTCTTGTTCATCTCACGCATCGTCTTTAAAAACTTGTGTACTTTTGTGGGTGATCAAACATGGAATCTGACAATGAATAACCTTGTAAGCTATAAATTGCTGTATATGGGAAGTATATAGGTTCATCTACCAAGTAACTGCAAGGCTTATAAAAGATTAGAATAATATGAGGAACAGGGGAAACTTTGTTTTATCTCTCATAGGTTTTTATCTAGTGTATCCACATGAGAATATGTTTGAACCATTGAAAGAAAAACTTTAGTTGTTGGTGTATGGGGCCTTTCAAGTCTTTCTTTGGATTAATAATTGCTTCATAGAAAGTATGGAGTAACTTTTTGAAGTGTTGGAAAGGGAATTCTATAGCAATGTGGTAGAGTTGACAAAGATACCATATGAAAAGACTCTTTCTTTTGGGAACCAAAATTGTTCAAGGAAATTAAAGGGATGGATGAAGGGGTAGTCTAGGTGTATTTCCAGGAGTTAAACATAACTGTCTCCATATCTATAGAGTATCTTGGATTGGTACTTGAATATGAGGTGTGGGGTTTTGATATTAAGGGATTTGGTTGCAATTAGTCTTGGTAACTTTGGAGGGAGTTGTTCTATTAGGAGTTGGAGGAATTCATTTGAAACAACAAACTCATCATCAAGGCGAGGCTCTTTTGTGGGAGGTGTTAAGGATGAAGGTTGGGAGGATGATATGGGATTCATCATTGCAATAACAAGAATGATCTTCAAAGTGTTTGAAGGTTTAGATAACATATCTAGAAGAATATTATCTTTTTTTTTTTATATGCTTCGTGGTGGAGGAATACCTCAAAAACCATTTGGAAATCTTCGAACTATAATTATTAGCTCAAAATTGACAGAAAAATTTATGAGACCAGATTTAGTGGTACATGGCAAGAACCTCTTTCTGAAGTTACAAGATTTGAACTTGATCATGCTGGTCCAGTTGAATGGAACCCATATTGGAAACCTTCTAAAGTCATTAAGGAATCAGATTGACAAAACTCTCAGGATCCATTAGATTTAGATGATGATCTTGATCTAGACAAATTCTTAGAAAACTTTAGTTATGATTTTAATCTAGGTGCAGACAACTCCCATCTCAATATCTCTCCAAAGTATTGCTCTTAGCGCTTCCTCTTCAAACGATGCTCACAATGAAAGAATCTTCCCTATTCGAGTCAAGATATATATAATCATGTGTGCAACTTTGTTAAGCATTGTTCAGTCTTCAAAGGCACTTTGATAAAGGGAAAGGAATTGTATCCTTTTCTTTATTAAAGCTACTTTATTAAAGTTACTTTACTATTTTGTTTGTACTTCTTTATGTCATAATCATGGACTCCTAGGTTATATCAGGGCTTATTCATTTACTTTTTCATACTTATTTAAGATGTAACTCTTTCTTTGTGAAGTTATATTATTTATCTTTCCAACTTCTTTTGTAAGAAACTTTTGTGAAATATAAAATATATATTTTTAAACTTTCTCTCCTTTGGCTACTCCTTTCCATTCCTATATTAGTTTTACAAATAGTTCTTAACCTCTATACATGGTTTGCAGTGATACAAGTTAGTATGCTTTGTAGTGCTCACAATATTATGGATTCTCTACATTAGAATTCTTGTAAAATTGTAAACAGACCATTGATCCACTTAACAAAGAAAAATTACTATAGCAAGGGATATTGAAGTAAGATATTGTACTGAAAGGCATAGTTTCATAAAAGTCAGGCTACTAGCTCAACTTCATGGCAGGAGGGGGCTTAGTCATGAGCAATGGCTAGCATACCTTGTTCTTATGCCTAACACTAGTGATGTAGTCTTTATAAGGCTAGAAGTTGCTCACAAGAACTCCTGATGTATTCACATTCCAAAACAGATATCAAATGAAGAACTTGATGCCCGCCCTACTTCCTTAGTCATGGACAACAAGTTATCAAAATCCTTGGAACCAAAATGAAACAATCCAACACTATGAAACTTCCTACACTATAAATCTAGATGACACTCTACACCACAAACCTAGATGGCACTATCACAATCAAATTTGATCACAAGTAAAAGGAAACCATTCAATGAGGATCGATTGCCTTCCTTAATGAGATACCAAACGTAGGCAGTCCATAGTTTAGGCATAAGGTCAAGGTATTTTGGCCGGCTCTCAAAACTAAATGCCCTCCTAGCATGATGTCGAGCTGGTGGCCTGATTTTTATGAAATTCTACCTTCCTTGGCATAGTAACTTTTCTTTGTTAAGCGAATCAATGGTCGATTTACAACTCTCCAAGAATTCTAATGCAAATGATCCATAATATTGTGGCAACTGTAGAGTACACTAACTCGTATTACTGTAAACCATATATAAAGGTTAAGAACTACTTTTAAGACTAAGATGGGAATGTAAATGAGTAGCCAGAAGAGAGAAATTTAGAAACATATGCTCTATATTTCACAAAGAAACATACTTTATATTTCACAAAAGTTTCTTACAAGAGAAGTTGGGAAAGTAGATAGTATGCTTTCACAACAAAGGAGTTACATCTTAAATAAGTATAGAAAAGTAAATGAATGGGACCTAATATGTCCTAGGGGTCCATGACTATGAGATAAAGAAATACAAACAAAATAGTACGATAATTTTATAAAGTAGCTTTAATAAAGAAGAGATAGGATTTCTTTCCTTTTATCAAAGTGCCTTTAATAAAATTGACGTGACTTTAACATAATGTAAACATGCCACAAAGCTTGACAAAAGCTAACGTTGATTAAAGCAGATATTGATTTGTCACCAACAATCTTATCTTATTATAGTAGGGGCTGCACTCTAAAAGCTAAACAAAGTTGCACACATAATTATACATATCTTGGATTAAAACAGGAAAAATTCTTTCATTCTATTCCAGCGGCAAGCTGATTAACATTTAAACCAATAACATGAGGTGATACCAAGCATCTTGAAACACTGCTTTTGCTTTCATCTCAGGTGATACATAACTCATGCTTTCCAAATCTTAAACAATATCTTTTGCTTTTGCTTTCATCTCAGGTTCAGAGATTTGGTTTCTTGGTAGAGCAATAGTACATTGTTCACCCATATTCGGGGGTATTTGTTCAATGATTTAGGGCATTTTCTTCAGAACATTGTAATTTGATTCATCCAGCACTGGCAGTACGCTTTGTTGCACTAACAGGCTGGCTTCATTCTTTTTAACCCTTTTCATTTGGGGTCAAATTCATTTGTGACTACATTGTAAAGTTATATGCGTTTATTCTTCACTTGGTTTTGATTGTAAAGTAGCAAAATTTTTTTTGGTGTGGTTTAATTTTTATTTACTGGTATGTTATTCACCATGATGTCAAGCTACTGCTGCATGAAAAGAACATTTCTTTCTCTGAACTTGGATGCATGGATCCTTTTCTGGTTGCATTTCAATTATAAGAATTCACTACTTTATAGAATTATCCAAGATTTGAGGAACCAGATTTGTCATTGTGTTCTAGCCCCTGAATAATAAACAATCTTCAGGAGAGACATGTAAACCTAATTTGTGATTGAAGTTCCAGTTTGATTCTTTTCATTAAAATTTTTAATCTAATATTAACTTGAATATAAAATCATAAGAAATATAATATTTAATAAATGTAGGATAATATCACTTAACAGACATCTATTGCATGTAGGCAAAGATAGACGTTTATGCTTATCACGTGATAAGGTTAAAAGGGATAACAGGTAAGAATGAGAAAATATAATTTGATTCTAATATCATATTAAACTTTAAACTTAAAGTCAATTGATAATAAGTAAAGAAATTCAACTTGAATGTAAGTTTGCTGGAAACCATTTTTTAAAACACCATTTTAACATTTTTATCATCTCCATTTTCAAGTAAATAAGAGAGCTAACTGAACATACCAAATTGTAAAAAATGCATCATTCAAAAATATGGTAGCATTAGAGCTTAAGCTGAAGAAGACACATTGATCAAATTGCTTTCTTGGCCTGAAATTCGTGGTGGACTACTTTGATCGTCACCTTCCATGAACATTTCATGGGCCTTGAGTTGCAACAGGGAGATTGTATGCAGAGGCTTCGCCGAGGGTCTTTGGCAAGAAAGAAACACTTGAGACACGCACTTCATCGTTGGTCTTGATTTAGGCTTCAAATCTAAGCATGCCAAGGCTAGGGTAGCAGCGACGACGATGTCTGCCGCTACAACCTGATTCCTGGGAGGTGATAAGCGTGGAACTAATAGATCACTCAACATTATATCGTGGGAATTAGCTGATGGTGAGGATAGTGATGATAAAAGCTCCCCTGGATGCTTTCCCATTAGTGTTTCCAAAGCTAATACACCAAAATTATAGACATCACATTTTTCTGTGACGATCATAGTGTAGGCACGTTCTGCATTAAAACATTAGAAGAACTCGAAGTAAGAATATATCAGTAAAATGCAATAATAATTTTATTATATTTAGAGTTGTCAAAAACTGAATCTTAATTATTGAAATTAAGAATCTAACGTTTTACTAATAAATTATATATCTATTGACAAGTAAAATGCACTAATTATTTGTGATTTTTTTGTATAATATTTCATTTTCATCTGCAATATTTACAATTCAAAATTTGTATCTACAACATTTCAAAATGTTTGAAATCCATCAATTCTTTCACCATTGTTAAAAGTTCAACAAAATATGTCACAAATTTCAACTCAAAAATCAAACGGGTTCACCTTTTTGTTTTTTTTGTTGTATGACGTTCCTTATCATATTTTAATGGTAGTATACAGAATGAATGAACTTAGAATAATTTTGAAAATCGTGGATTAATATATTGAATTTAAAATTTGTGGATGAAAATGAAATATCAAACAAGTGTAATTTACTCAAGAATATATCAAGGATTGTTTAATTGGATAAAGCAAAGGTAGAAAACTTAACCTGGGGCAACATATCCAAATGTTCCAACAAGCATTGTTTGATTGGATGAATCAGGATCAAGGAGTCTAGCTGTGCCAAAGTCAGAGACAAAAGCCTCTAAATCAGAATTCAACAGAATATTGTTGCTCGAAATGTCTCGATGAAAAATTGGTGGATTGTAATCATGATGCAAGTAAGACAAAGCGTGAGCAGTTGCTTTAATGATGTTTACTCGTTTGATCCAATCCAACTCCACAGCTTCATTTTGATTTCTCAAGACACAAAATAAGCTTCCTCTGTCCATGTATTCATTTATCAAAAACATGCTACGTTTATGGAGACAAAAACCATGAAGCTTCAGAATGTTCTTGTGTCGTATTTCTGTCAACAATTTTGCCTCATTCCTGAAACTCTTGTCGAAAACCGGCACCTCTGCTTCTAGACGATGAAGTTTCTTCAAGGCAACGACCTTCCCACTTGGCAATTGTGCTCTATAAACACTACCATAACAGCCAGTTCCAATGCAATATCGAACGTCGAAGTCTTCTGTTGCTTCAATGATGTCTTCAAATGCAATTCTCCCATCATAGTTCCATATTGAGAACAAATCTCCATTTCTTGTTGCATTCAGATCAGATTTATCGTTTTTGCGTCTACATTTGAAGGCGAACACGACTCCACTTGATACGAATGCAATAAAAACAATTACCGGAAGGATGATTTCCAAAGCTTTTCGAACATGTGTGTGAGATTGAGGGCGAGGAGAGAAGCCTGTAATGTTTCCACACAAATCCTTGTTGGAAAAACCCAAAAAGCTCAAGAATAAAAACACACAAATATATTTGGTTCGGCCCAACTCAAAATGGCCTACTCCAAACCAAATCCACTATCAAATAAATCTTTACAATTGTGAGACTTTTAGAATGAGAAAAGTCTCCTAAAACTCCTTACTCACACCCTTTAATAGCCTACTCACTTAGCTATTCTCTTGGTGTCTAACTCTCTGGGGTTATTAAACTAAAACCAAAACATCTTATTTATAAGGGTGAAACCCTTTATACCTTTACTAAACTCCCGATGTGGGATACAAGACAAACTCAAACTCACTTAACTTTCGATGTGGGATTCTGAGATTCAAGACAAATCCCAACAAATCCTCCCTTGACTTGAATCTCCAAACACTTCAACAGTATCTGCAAAGCTAACATGCTTACCTTTCTTCTTTTCTTTCATCACAGGCATCTCAGCAACTGAGTCTCCATCAAACATGTACAAGTGAATGACCCTATTCCCTTGTAGAATCACACTACCATTCTTATACACTTTCAACCAATCATTACTACCATAATATGTGTACCCCGAGAAGCTAACTCACCTAAAGCAATCAAATTGTAGTGACAATTTGGTACATACCTTACATGACAAAGTGTCCTAATAACACCATTGTGAGATTTAAGGCGAACACTCCCAATGCCTTGAATCTGTACCTTTTCTTTGTTAGCAACCACAATATCCCCATACTTTTCATTCTCATTCAACTCCACAAAGCAGCTCCTATCATTGCAAACATGAACTGTAGCAGCTGAATCTAAAACCCAACCTTTATCACTTTTCAAAGTTAGGGTCTCATCCACACAAGTTGTCAAAACAACATCATCATCAGACAAGACAGCAACAGTATCACTCTTTTCTTCATCTGATTTCTTCTCATCATTCGCCCTTTTGAAAGCAGCCATATCCCTTCTCAGCTTCCTGCAGCGCACTTGGATATGTCCCTTCTCACCACAATAATAACATTCTACGTCACTGTAATCTCTGTCTCTTGACTTAGATCTCCATCTTGATCCATCAATCCTCTTTTGAGTCCTCCCTCGATCAAAACCCTCAACAACTACTGTACTCCCCTCAGGTGATGAGTTCTGAACTCCCATAAACCTTTCATTCTCACGCAATAGGGCAGTCACATCATCCAACTTCAAAGTAGACCTGCCTACCAACACAATCTGAACTAAAGGCCTATAAGACTTGGGCAAAGATGACAGCAAAATTAAAGCCTTCTCTTCATCTTTTAACTCATCAACAGAAATCGCTAGCAATTGAGAAACCAATTTATTAAACTCATTCAGGTGATTATGAAGACTCATACCTTCTTCCATCTTCAGAGAATACAGATCCATCTTCAAACATAATCTATTAGTCAACGACTTCGAAGCATAAATACCTTCAAGCTTATCCCACAAACTCTTCGGAGTACTCTCTAGCGCCAATCTAATAGTACTAACGGCTTTATTCTGAATCCTATTCCAATTAGCATCAGACATTCCTTCAGGCTTACTACTCTCTAATGCCTGATCCAACCCTTGTTGTACTAACAGATCTTGAATCGTACTTTGCCATAACATAAAATTACTCTTTCCATCAAATAACGGAATCTCAAACTTAGGCATAGACATACCAGACATATCTTCTTCAGATATCTTCAAACACTGCTTCACGATCTCTTGGACCCACGAACCTCGAACCTCGTTCTGATACCACTTGTTGGGAAAAAACAACACCCACGCGCAGCAACCACACACAAAATAACAAGCTCAAATCAAGAATAAAAACACACAAATATATTTGGTTCGGCCCAAGTCAAAATGGCCTACTCCAAACCAAATCTCCCCTGAATGACTCAGGCGGGAAGCAGTAACTAGCAAGTTCAGGAATTGGATCCTTTAGAGAATTATATGACAAGTTGACACTTTCCAGGGAAAGGAGATATTTAGGGATCGGTCCTGTCAGATTGTTGTAGCTGAGATCCAAGACCTTCAAGTATGAAATCACAAGCTGCCGAGGCAGTTCTCCACTTATGAAGTTATGGCTTAAATCAATAACATCTAAGCATTCAAAGAATTGTCAAGGAATAGCTCCATTAAAACGGTTGTTTCCCAAATACAATTCTCGTAAATTTGAGCAAACCCCAATTTGATCCGGAATAGGTCCGGACAATTTGTTTTTAGAGAGGTTCAAGTATCTCAAACCTTTCAAATTCCTTATTTCTTTGGGTAATGGACTTTCTAAACAATTATGAGCAAGACTTAACTCGACCAAATTCTTCATATTTCCTGTTTCATGAGGAATTGGACCATGTAAAAAATTTGAGTCGAGGTACAAAATGCTCAAATTGGATAGACTAGTAAGTGATGAAAGAGTCAGGCTCATGAAGTTGTTATTACTGAGATGTAATTCAATCAAGTTCTTCATGTTCCTTATTCCACGAGGGATTGCACCATGTAAAAGATTAGAATCTAGGAACAAATAGCTCAAATTCACTAAATCACACAACGATGAAGGGATTGGACCTATGAGCTTATTATCAGTGAGAACTAATTTAGACAAATTCATCAAGTGACCTATTTCTGATGGAATGAAACCACTGATCTTGTTTGAAGTGACATCCAAAACTTCCAAACCGATCAAACCAACAAAAGTTGGAGGGAGTGTCCCATATATTTGGTTGAGACTTAAATCCAAATGTTTCAATTTGGTTAAGTTTCCTAGGGTGGAAGGGATTGAACCTATAATTCTGCAATTGTCCAATTGTAGAGACACCAATCTCTTCAAGTTTCCCAATTCTAGGGGGATATAACCTTCAATCAAATTATAGGAAACATTCAGAACCTTTAATTTAGTGAGTTTTCCAAGTGAAGAAGGGGTAACTCACCATTTAGATTATTGAAACTCAAATCGAGGAATTTTAGTGATGATAGCACACCTATTTGAGGCGGAATGTTGCCTATAATTCCATTGAAAGCTGCATTAAGATAGACAAGGTTTTGAAAGCAAGAGAAATTTAACTTTTCAAATTTGTCATCAACAAAAAATAGTCGAACGTCCATTTTGGTGACGCTTCCAGCACCATTGCATGATAAACCAGGCCATTCACAACGTTGTGAAATGTCCTTCCTATAGCTACTCCACCAACCACTATGGAGAAGAGCTTGTGCTTCTAATTCTAGTGAGGATGCTGTGGCTAATTTAGTTTCCGAAGTTGAAACATGGGCAAGAACTATAGTGGTAGTTGTAAGGTAAGAAAGAACAATGGCAATCCATTTGGATAAGGCCATCTTTGAGATTCAAAGGTTCAGAAATGGCATGTTAGTTTCCGAAAACTAATCTCTCAGTGGTTTAAACAAGTCTGCTATGGAAGTCAAGGTCCTCATCCTTTTCTTCGCACTAATTAATTGATATGACTTGTCTCCCAAAGGGATTGACGACTATTGTTTGCACATTTAGTTGCAATTTGATTAAGATCAAGCATTCCCATGGAAGAAGTAAATTCCTATGTATCAGGTCCAATTATTTTCAGAAACAGAACATACCAATTTTTTTTAATTTATAATTTATCATTTAATCCCCGATCATTATTTATTTAACTCACGTAAAAAAACAAATTACATATCTAAATTCTTACAAATTTGAATTCTGCGAGAACTCATCCAATATACATGATCTCTGAGCATATAATTTTTTGTTTGAATATTTGAGCATATAATTTTTAATCTATCTATTTTGGTGGATATACTTTCTACTCCATAATATCTCTTTAAATTATAAAAAAAAATAATACTTGTTCTGTCCCAAATTTACTGTAAAAGAATTAAAAGGGTGAAGTCAAAATGTTAACGTGAAAGTGACGTCTATCTGTTTTTCCAATTTTTCAAGCCTCATTCCCAGCAAAATTATTAAAAGATGGTCGCATGAATATGTCTCGTCAATGCCACGTAAATGTCTACATGACATAAAATTTAGTTTAAAAAGTCAAAGGGTCATTTTTTGGCCATCTGATCATCGACGTGGCTTTGTTGTGACATATTTTGTCATATGAAGTGAATAATTTAAAATATTTATAGAAGGTAGTGTGAAAATTTTAAAATTTAAACATTATGGATGAAAATATAACATAAAGATTATGGATGATAAATATAATTAACTCCTAATTATAATTATTTTTTCGACTTATTTAAAGTGTTTTCTAGCATAAACTAAATTGAGGACACAGGAATTTTTTCTCTTGTATATTGATAAACAAATTCACAATCATGGATACCACATGACCTCTTCAAAGAGATCTTGATCGATTCAAATCCCACTCAACTTGTTTCAAAGATGGTCATCACCTAATAACAACTTTGACAAAGAATAACATTAATGCAAATATATGGTTGACTTAGAAACAAAATTTTAATATTTTATGTGAAATTATTAATACTCTAGAGGCCAAAAATTCTTGATTTTGATATACATCTTCCAAATGGTCCAACTTCTTATTTTGCTTACATTAAAAAAAAAAAAAAGCCAACCATCTAATTTTTTCATCGCTAAAAGTCAACAATTTGATTGCAATGTTCCTGATGTGCATTTACTTCCTTAATTATGACATAATAGGAATACAATTTAATGTTTTGCTCCATTTTTTTTAGAGTCAACTAAGCATTGATACTGAAAAAGTTTATTGAGAAATTTTATTTACAACTATAATTTTGTTTATAACAACCACATTTTATGTTATAAAATTACTCGTAAAATGAATTACGTTTAGTATTCGTGATAAAAATTATTTTGTAATTCTTCAACCACATTCAATTACATGCCTTCTCACAACCCACTTTTAAATATGCAGATATGCATTCTCTATAATGTTTCCATCACGTAAACTTATATTTTTGATAAATTATCCACATTTAGATTCATCCGTATACATAGACCAATTTTTATACAATGAAATCGGAAATGTATTTACGTATAATCACTGACCTCCTTCACTAGCTACTTATTATCACCATCAGTAATCAACATAGAGACATGGTCCATGACTTCATCCTAACTCCTACTAGCACCATTCTGAAATAACTCCTTACAAAAATTACACAAAACACTTTTTTGATATTACTTCATTTAACCTTTCCATAGTATCTTTGTTAATTCTCAAAATTCTTTTTTCTATTGTCTCATTTGCACAGTAATTTGATAAAAAAAAAATTTGTGTTTTAATCATCAACAAAAGTTAACCAATTAATTCCAACCTTTTTTATGCCAATATTTCTCCCCCTTACCATTTTTAAACTTTCCTTTAATCTCGTAGCACCTTTAGTCGTAACATGCAAAAGTCTAAAATTTGATTTTTATATACAAAAAGAAGAATCATCATTAATATTTTTGTTAGATATGATTGATCTCTTAATTAAATCTATTCTTTTAAAAAAAATGATAAACTTCATTAAAACTCTTTTAAAAATAAGTTCTGAGAAACATTACAGAACTAAATTCGAGAATATGATTATGTGTGGATATGGTGTTATAACAACAAATCCAAAAACTTGATCATTAGATACAAGACACATAATCATCACCAGTCTTTTTTATTTATATGTAATTGATTACCTAATTGAATGTATTCCCTTTTAATCACTATAGCAAAATGACGTATTAACGACAGTTTTGTAGCGGTCTCTCACTTACAAACACCGCTAGCTTCCGTGTTTTTATAAAGCTTTAGGTATTTATTATCCAAACACCACTAAATATTCAAATAGCTACGTTGTTACTTATAAACGCCACCCAAGGCTTGATATTAGAGGCGTTTCTCGACTAAAATACCTTGAATATTTTTTATTAAAAATTTCGATGAATAGTTAAGGCATATTTTTGGCAGACAATGCCTTCAATAATTACGTCATAAAAAATTGTATGAGATTAATGAAGGCATTGTCTTCAAGAAACGCCTTTAATATTTGGACCAAAAATTTTTCTAGGCTTATTGAATTTATTTTCTTCATAAATACATTCAATATTAAGCTTATCAAATTGTTTGGATCATACGGATGTTTACCATAAGGTTGTTCGTTCAATCCATCTTTTAGCCTTTTTTTGGGTTTAGGCATAGATTATTTGTTATTGATTATTCTAGGCATTTTCTTAACAAAAACGCCTTCACCAATTGCTTTAAAAAAATTTTCATAGAATATTGAAGGCATTTTTTGCGTCCTTAATAATCGATAGAAAAAATATGGAGTTGATTCTTGAAGGTGTTTTTGGCCAAACTCGCCTTCTATAATCCAATTAGAATTTTTTTTTTATTTTTAAAGGTAATTTTGTAAGAAATGCCTTCAATATTTCATAGACAAAACTTTGATGGGATGGTTGAAGGTGTTTTGGCTCGAAATGCCTTTAATATTTCCAACGATAAATTTTAATGGTTAGATTATTGAAGGCGGCTATATCCAAAAATATTTTCATAAATATTTTGTTAGGGATTATTGAAGGCATAACTCGTAGGAAAACATCCTTCATAATCCATTCGATTAATTTTTAGTTGGTATTATTTTTTGCCCAAAATACATTTAATATTCCAGACAATAATTTTCTGGGAGGATTATTGAAGGTGATTTTGGTAAAAAATGCCTTTAATGTTTTCTGTTATGGGTGATTGAAGGCATTTTCTTGCTAAAAACGCCTTCATTAATCGCATAAAAAAGACATAATTGATACTTTATATGTGAAGTCAGTTGTAGGTTTATGCACAGAAAAATATTTGTTGTTAGTTGTATATTTATACCCAGAAAACATTTGGTTTATATATTTGATACTATGAATTACATTTTGGAATTTGCATAATGAACATTGTTGTATTTCAAAAAATTGACCAAACATCTGAAATTAAAACTGATAACGTTGTCATATTAATATAGTTTTTTGAAATAATCATACTCAATAATTTATTAAGTATACATAGTGTATTCTTATTAAGTATAACAATAATATTAAACCAATACCCCCAATGTACAAACTTACAGTTTCCATTCAACATGGCATGTTAAAAACATTATAACAATTTATTCCATATATATTTACATTCAACCAACAATGTCTAACCTAAAAGTTTATTAACACTGATAAATGACAATATATAATCACACTATTCTTTACAGACTGCATCCAGCTCCTCTTCTATGAAGCTTTCTTTACCATCCCACTAAAAAAATATATAAGAAGTAAATGTTAAGAAATGAGAACATAATGTACCATTTTATTTTTTTGAATATATAACGAGTTTATAAAATTTATACTAACCTTGAATGGTGTGGTCATAAAATTATGTAACACTATCTCTCGCATAAAACGAAGGATATAATATCCACATTCAGTATTACCGGGTTGACAAGATACCTGAAAATTAAATTGAGTCAGTTTAAAAAATATTTATCTAAATAAACTCAGCATTAAAAGAATAAATTTGACATTTACCAGCAATGACACCCATTTCGATTTTTTTTTCTTATTCAATGCAGATATTACCCTAAATTGAAAAGAAACAAATTAGTGGGAACATAAATAAAATTTCTTATGAAGAAACAGAACATATATAATATAATAAAGTACTATAATACCTTTTTATAAAAGTTTGAATATTGACGTTAGGCATCGCCGTTAGATTAACTAAATTAAAAAAGTATGACGTTAAGGATTTGGTGTCAATCACAATAAGCACCCAATGACGATTGTAAAATAATAACAATGATATACTCAGAATACACATCAGATCATAGAATGGAGCATGTTGGAGTAATTAAGGTTGGAATATAGTTTATTGCGCATTATACGGGAGCAAATAATAATCAGTTGGTCTTTTCATGCATAAGATCACATGATTAGCACGATACGCGACTGTGCCACTTTGCTCACTAATGAAGTTGGGGTCAATGAATCTAAATCTATTCGTAAATTGTCTTGCCTTGAGCTCTCTAAATCTAAATGAAGTTTGATTGAAGTCAACATGAATTTTTGTGTTAGTCACTCTGATTTGTTTATTTGGGCCCCTTCCCTTTCTTTTTTGGCCTACACTTCTTTCTTCTATATGTTCATTAAAAGGAGAATGATGTTACCTGTAATATTGATAATAATTATAGGAATTACACAATATGATCCTCTAAATTGATCATTATACTTAATTTAATACAACCAATATCATACTATGTACAAAAATAGCATTTAGCACACCATTCAGCAATGTGCTCATACACACCCTTTAACAAAGCACTCAGAAACACCATTCAGCCCCCTAATTTCATTCAAATCCATTCAGCAAAACAATATCAGACAACAAGGTTCAGCAAACCATTTAGCATGAAATATTATTTAGACCTCCAATATCATACAATACCATTCGACAATACAATATCAATCAACAAGGTTTAGCAAACCATAATATTTAATGTGTACTTCATAGA